GTTTTTGCACACTCCCCACTGGGGATGTGCCCGCAACCAAGGTACCTGCCCTTGACCAGAATCGAACCTGGGACCCTTAAGTCTGCAGGCTGATGCGCTATCCACTGAACCAAACCTGTTAGGGTGGAACTACCTTTTTTCGTTTGTTTTGTTCATCCTCACCCGAGAATATTTTTCCATTGAATTTTAGGGAGAGAGGGAAAGACAGAAACATCCATGTGAGAAACACATTGACTGGTTGCCTCCTGCACGCACCCGACCAGGGAGGAGCCTGCAACCAAGGTACGTGCCCTTGACCGGAATCGAACCTGGGACCCGTTGGTCTGCAGGCTGACGCTCTATTCATGAGCCAACCCGGTTAGGGCTGGTTGATTCTTGTACGTTCTTCTACTGGAGATTAAACCCACAACCCTGGGGTATTGGGACGATGCTGTAACCAACTGAGCCTGGGCTAGAAGAACATATATTTAAATTTGCTGCCCGTCCAGTGTAGCTCAGTGGTTGAGTGTGGACTTATGAACCAGGAGGTCATAGTTCAATTCCCGGTCATTGCACATGCCTAGGTTGCAGGAGGCAGCTGATTGATGATTCTCTCTCACTGATGTTTCTATCTCCCTCTCCTTTCCTCTCTGAAGTAAAAAATATATTTTTAAAAATGTAATCAAAATATATTTAAAAGAAGTTTGCTCACATGAGTTTATCCAGAAAAATATACAAGCAGGTGATAACATTGGTTGTCCTGATTAAGAGTACTGGGTGTTGGGAAGAAAGGACTGGAGAGGGAGCCTTTTTTTCCTTTTTAATATGTATTTTTATTGATTTCAGAGAGGAAGGGAGAGGGAGAGAGAAACATCAAAGATGAGAATCATAGATGGTCTGCCTCCTGCACACCCCCTACTGGGGATCAAGCTCGCAACCCTGGGCATGTATTCTTTACCAGAATCAAAGCTCAAGTCCTTCAGTCCACAGGCCCATGCTCTATATCCACCAAGCCAAACTGGCTAGGGCAAGGGAGCCATTTCTTAGTAGAAACTTTGCCCTTAAAAATTAAAAATTCTTTGCTTTTTTTTTTTTATTTTAGGGAGGGAGGGAAGGAGGGAGGGAGGGAAGGAGAGAAACATCAATTGGTTACCTCCTGCATGTGCTCCCACCAAGGGTCAAACCCACAACCTATCTATGTGCCCTGACCCACAGCCTTCCACTGCTGGGAGTCATGCTCCAAGCAACTGAACCATACTGGCCAGGGCTGTCTTTGCCTTAAAAAAAAATTCATATATACACACACACAGACATCCCTATGTATATACTGTGAATCAAATCCCTGACCTACCTCCTGGTTCATAAGTTGACACTCAACCACTGGGCCATACTGGAACAGGCTATAGTTGAGTTTTGACAAATTTGTGCATCCATGGGACCATAACAAGACTTGGAATAGCCCTGGCTGGTGTGGCTCACTGGATAGAGCATTGGCCTAGGGACTGAAGGGTCCTGGGTTCTATTTCAGTGAAGGGCACATGCCCGGTGTTGCAGGCTCGATCCCCACTGGGGAGCGTGCAACCAGTCAATGATTCTCATCAGTGATGTTTCTCTCCCCTCTTCTCTGACATAAAAAAGCATTTAAAAAGACTTGCAATATGCTCACCTCCCCCCAAACTTTCCCATGCCCCTCATTTGAGCCTCCCTCATCCCAGACTCGGTGATGTGCTTTCAGCCATGAGTGATTAGTTTGGCCTGTTCTAGAATTTCATATGAATAGGGTTGAATGTTTTACACTTTTCAGCCCGTTAATAGTTTTGAGACTCATCCATGTTTTCTGTATCAATACTTTGCTGAGTGAGATTGCATCATATGAATTCACAATTCCTTCTCTCATTCAACTATTGGACATTTGGGTCATTTCCAGTTTTTTCATTTTATGAGTTTTTTTCAAATCCTCACCCAAGGGTGTTTTTAAAGTTGACTTTAGAGAAAGGGAAGAGGAAAACTCAGATCAGCAGTCTCCTGTATGCCCTGACTGGGGATCGAACCTGCAACCTTTAGTGCATGGGATGGTGTTCATATCACCTGAGCCACCTGTCCAGGGATTATGGTAATTTTTGACCCTGTGCCCTGGAGGCCCTACACAAGCCAACCAAACGATGGATAATGGACAAGGAACTGAGGCAAAGCCGGCGGGAAACTCCCATGCCCTCCCCCGGAGAGGGGCAGAACCTTAAACATTGGGGTATGTTCCTGCAGTCATGTCATCGCCTGGTTAATCCAGAGCCGCCTCATCAGCCGAGACCAGAGGTGGCCCCAGAGCTCCATGAGGGGCCCTGTGCGGTGGGACTGCGTGTGGACCTGAGGGGGGGAGGCCAGCTGCTCTGGGCCCGGCACAGGCTGGTCTGGGCACTAAGAGGCACCATAGCTGCTTGCTTTTCCAACTTTATTTAGAAAAACAAATCCGGGTCCCAGTGCCCCCTCCCCCACCCCAGCCATAACTTAAATAACTTAGAGACAGAGTTGAGGGTCGGGCAGGTGTGGAGGAAGCACCCCTACAGCCGCCGCAGCGCCCGCTTCTTGTCCGTCTTCTTCTTGGCCGCCAGCTTCTTGTCCCGCTCGCCGGCGTGCTTCTTGGCCATGGGCCCCTCGGCCCCGC